TTTACGTTACGTTACGTTACTTACGTACGTAACGTACGTACGTTACGTTACGTTTCGTTTCGTTCGTTCGTTACGTTACGTTACGTACTACGTCTCTCTCTCTCTCTCTCTCTCTCTCTCTCTCTCTCTCTCTCTCTCTCTCTCTCTCTCTGTCTATCTAAGAATAGCACTAATGGGTTTTTTGTGGGTATATATATATATATAGTCATCATGTGTTATGTGAAGGACTTCGAATTTTTGCCTTGATATTTTTGGTGGACTTGGGGATGAATTATTTGCTCAAAGTTTGTAGTTTGTTAATCTTTTCTTTTTTGGCATGCCCATGCACTATAAAGTTAGTTGTAAGAGTAGTCTATTATTATAATTTGGTTTAATGGACTTGAATTTTTGTTTGTATTGTAGTTTAAGTGGTGGCATTGTCCTTGATGTAATTTTGGTTTGTATTTTGGTTTTCATAATCATTCAAGATATAAATTGTTGGGGTTTTCATGGTTCCAGGGTTTAGCAGGACCTATGTATTTCAGGAGGCTTTAATAATTTTCTTTACTGATGGAAAAGTTATCATGGCTTGTTTTGAAATACAAATTTGATTTCTTTTCAGGGTGGATTATCAGTTTTCTGCTTCGAAATATGAATCAAATTATTTAATATCTATTGTGAAATGTATGAATTTGGTAATTTAATGGTGTAGATTATTTATTGTAGAAGTCACAAAATAAATAAAAAGAGAGTTAAAAACTAGAATGATCTTGCACTGTAACGCCCATTGAAGATTAGACTGTAATCTTCTTTATAATTACCATCAGAAAAACAAACTCCCACTGTTAATATCAGCAACAAGGAAATTATACGCCTCCCTTGATAAACTCACAATCAACTTCATGTAAATGTCCTCAGCATCAATCAATATCCATTTATGCTTTCATCCATTTTATGATTACTGTATTTCCCTTTCTCTTCTTTTGGCTTCTTATACTTCGTTTTGAATTCTTTTTACTTCTTTTCTGTTTAATAATAGAATTTTATAATATTTTTTGCTTGTCATGCATGCTCTTTGTAGGTATATGGATTGATTAGCTTCTTGAACTTTACACATTTATTGGTTCTGACAGTGTTGTTTCTTCAGTATCTTGTTTGGCGGGGCCGTTTTCATAAAAACAAGTGGGGATGCAATATGGAAGATGCGTAACTCTGGGGTGAGTAACATTTATTTTCTTCCATTTCCCTCTTTGTGGTTTTAGTAAATTTTATGATATCATTTTTTTTCTTTCTTTCGTTTTTTTTTTTTTGAGAAAATGAAAAGCTCGAATGGTCTGAATATGTATTTGGATTTTCATGAATTTCGTGTGGTCTTTTGTTTTATACATTGATCAAGAATTCGTTCTTGTATCTTGAGTAGGAAAACGGCAAATCAGCATGTCAGTCATTTTTTTTTCCCCCCTTTAAGTATGTCTCTCATGGTTAGACCTATGGTATATTCACACCCTCAGTAGATTTTCATTAAGCAGTTGGAGAAAGAAGCTTTTTGGAATGTTATGAATTCTGGTAAGGGTAGGGTTTAGGTGTGTTTTGGGACATACCTATTGTAGTGAGTCCAGTCTTCCAAAATCCATCTCCAAGATAGATTTTGGATCCAAAACCTCTCATGTCCATCATCTAGACTACCACAATCATTAATCTGAAAAAAAAATGAATTTTGAGCTTTAAAAATGGTCAGTCACCTTTCATTCAATTTTCAAAGGATCATCAGATCTGCCCTGTTTTTGGAGCTCCGAAATCATAGATCTGAAGTGGAAATGAATTTTTAACGATTTGGGATATGTTCGGGTTACCTAAAAGCCTTGAAATCATGGCAGACACACGAATGGGCTAACTTCATCAAAGAATTTTTACTTTTGATGAATGAAATAAAATTATCTATATAAATATTTGCAGAATATGGACGTTAGTAGCAAAATGAGTCAAAAACATGTTATTTATGAGGAATTGTTCAATGTGAATTACGTTTTTTCTTTTTCTTGGTATATATGCATTGGCTTATCTCATAAAATATAATATCACAAACCACAGCATATTGAACTCGATTCACCATTCAAGAGGTATTGACTCTACTAATGCAAGCGACTAGTAAAGTTTCTTTAACCGGCAATTCTCATTGTATTTTCTTGAGATTTGAGAGTACACCTCCATGATGTTCTTCTATAGCAGCTATATGGTGGAGTTGTCACTTTGAAAAGCCCATGCCAATATTCAGAAAATGGGGGAAAATACTCCAGGCCAAGGTTTAGCCTCTTACTAACCTTTCACTCCTATCAGATGCAAAGTATCGTTTCTGGGAGCTTGTTGTTTCATTTGCTATTGATGAGGTGTTTCTAACATGCTTATTGGGGTTTGAAACTCTTAATCTGTATGTTCTTATTAGCACCTTTAGGGAAGTGAAAGAAAGATAATTCCTTTGACCTGGAAATATCATTTGACTCATTTATCACCCTATCGCCATCTAATCATGTTCAACTAGTTGCACAATAAGCTTGCCATATGTGAGAAGAGCTCTTATTTCTTCTTGCTACTTCTAGACTCAAAGGCTCAATTTACATACATTTTTACCTTTAGAGATACACAGCCTTATATCTATATATATAACCATTTTAATCAGTGTACATGGACACCAACACGGGTGTAATACCTAGTATGAGTATTGATTATCTAGTACGTCGTCCCAAAAATCCAGTACAATATCGGTGCGTCTGTACAATTGCACACACACAAATAAAATCTTTGATACTTAATTACATCAATTAATTTCAAAATTTGAATCTTGCAAGTGCAAATCGCATAAAGAGTAATTTACATTTTATATTATAAACCACATTTTAAATTAAAACATGTTTTATAAAAGATGGTATTTTTTTGAGTCCATATGTACCAATTAAAATATGGCAATAAATTATATGAATAAGGATATGCTTATGATAATTATAGTAAGATATTAAAAAACAAAATTATAAGTATATGCATGGGCAATTGCCCATACATTAAAGGGCAAACATTATAAGAGCATATAGGATTTTCATGCATTAGCGGGCATGCAAAAAGATATGCATGTCTTTAATTGTTACTTTCTAATTATTGCTTTGAGGATAATAAATGCACCATTAAGCATTTATGGCATCCGAATTTAGTTAGTAGCTATAATGAATTCAATAAGTAATATCTTCATCATTATCAACATCATCATTAGAGCCTTTTCCCAACTATTTGGGGTCGGCTACATGAATCCTGGTCCACCATTTTGCTGTAGCAAGGGCCATACTTTCAGTGAGGCCATATGTCCCCTTATCTTTTCTCACTACTTCTAACCATGTCCTTTTGAGCTTACCCATTACCCTTTTTGAGCATTTCACTTGAGACAACTCGCACCTCCTAACAAATGCCTTACTGGGTTTGCGCTGCACATGGCTAGCCCACCTAAGTCTACTTTCATTTTGAACTCTATCCCTTCTTATCTTGCCACTTATCCATCTCGACATCCTCATCTCAGCTACACTCATCTTATGGGTATGTCGTTTCTTGACCGTCCAACATTTCGCCCCATAATACAAAGCCGGTCTCACAACTCTCCTATAGAACTTCCCTTTTAGTTTTATGTGGTGATCACATAAAACCTCGGCTGCACATCTCCAATTTGCCCACCCAGCTTTAATTATATGTGCGACATCTTCTTCAATTTCTCTATTTTTCTGGTTATCGCCCCTAGATATCGAAAGTGCGCTCTTTTTGGTATTTCTTGCTCGTCAATCTTCACTACTACCTCATCTCTACTCGTATCATTATTAAACTTGTATTTATATTCTATCTTAGTCAGGCTAATTTTAAAACCTTTAGATTCTTGAGCATCCCTCCAAAGTTCTAATTTTGAGTTGACGCCGCTTCGGGTTTCATCAATCAAAACTATTTCGTTCGCGAAAAAACATACACCACGGTACCATATCTTGTAGGTACCCAGTTAAGTCCTCCACAACTAAGACAAAGAGGTATGGGCTCAATGTTGACCCCAAATATGGACCTATTGTCGCTGAAAATTCACTCCTCTCTCCATTAGTTGTTCACACACCAATTAGCGCTCTCTCGTACATGTCTCTCACCAAGTCGATTTTCTATCTAGAGACGTTTTTTTTTTTAATAGCCACCAAATTAAATCTCGAGGTACTCTATCATAAGTTTTCTTTAAATCAACAAAGACCATTTGGAGGTCTTTTCCATTTGCCCTAAACTTATCAATCGGTTGCCTAGGTAGGAAAATAGCCTTAACTGTTGACCTTTCTGGTAGAAAACCGAATTAGTTTTTTGATACACTTGTTTCATTCATTAGTTGTTACTCAATCACTCTTTTCTACAACTTCATAGTGTGGCTCATAAGTTTGATCCCTCAATAATTCGCACAATTTTGTATATCTTTTTTGTACTTGTAAATAGGTACCATAGTACTTTTCCTCTATTCGCCTAGCATCTTATTTGTTCTCAACATTTTGTTGAGCAACTTGGTCATCTAGTCAATGACAATCTCCCCCATGCACTTCCATACCTCTATCAGGATACCATATGGTCCTAAAGCCTTTCCTATCTTCATCTTCTTCAAAGCCTTTTTCATTTCTGATATCATAATTCAACGAGTGATATATATGCCATAAATGTACGTACTTAAAATGGATGACATAGTGGTTATTAATTTTAATGCCATTTGAAATGGTCATGGGTTCGAGTCCCACGAATTGCCACTTTCACTATACAATCAAATAGGACACCACGTGTCTAAAAATTCGACACGCCGTGTCGGGGTGAAACTTAGCATACATATGAATAACGTGTATTCTACGTGTCTAGGCGTGTCGAAATACAATACTAGAATAAAAATGGAGTGTCTGGGTAATACTAATTCTAACCCTATGAAAGCCTCAATTCTATACTCATTTTTGCTTCAAAATGCACACAGCCTTTGAGTATAATATCATCTTCACCATAGGGAGCCTCAACTTCACAAACATTTTTACGAGGGTTCTAAATCCACAGATCTGGATCAGGAATTACCGATCCAGATTGCATTCAGTTGGAGACCAACCCACCCAGATCCTTTATAGAACTAGGAATTGGTCCAACTCGATGGGAAACACCAAGTTCTGTCAGTGACCCAAGCGAGTCTGTCAGTGAAATCGGCGATCCAAGTCAAATAACTCTTTTTTATTTTTTTATTTCTTTTAACCCAGAGAATCGCTGATCTAGGTGACGAGTTGCCAATCCCGGATCAGTACAGTTTGAGGGCCAATCCAATATCATTTTGGGTTTTAAAATGATTTTTACTTTCATAAATGGACAACTTGATGTATGTAAGATCAATTTTACAAATTGAAAGCCACAGATTTATGAACACACTTAGATATTCAACAAGCCATTTCTATGCCATTTGATTCATGATTCTTGTAGCTCATTCCCAATGATACTTTCTGCAAAAAGTTCATAACAATCTGGGCATGGGTTTTCTCTAGGTAGCATTTATTCCTTTGTGAAAAGATACAGCTGAAAGAAGGGAGTAGACATATATATGCAGGACTTGGATAGATATGGTGCTCCCTGTACAAGTGCATGTCTAAGGAGAAACTTGTAAAGGGGAGAGAGAGAGAGAGAGAGAGAGAGAGAGAGAGAGAGAGAGAGAGAGTATATAGTATTAATTATTCGTCCGTAGTAAGTAATTATTTTATTTGTTGTCGTTGGTATCTACTATACGTACTAGTTGTTGTTCGACCTACTCCGTAGTACGTACCACCGTACGG